TTAAAAATGCACGACCGAAAAGACATGGCACTGGCCTTCTACAGGGGAGATCCTTCCTTAGGCCCGCTGCCGAGGATTAGTGCGAACTTCCCCTTCCCGACACCACCCCTTTCGGCCTTCCCTCCGGGTAAACAAATCGTTGGCAAAAGGCAGAGGGAGGAACGAAGGGGCAAGTCGCGGCTGCTTTTGTGTTTCTGCCACGCTGTCGTTGCTGCACTGCATGCGTAGCAGAGTTCATCAGCCGCTATACGCTCGATTATTTGTTAAATGGACCCTGCGAAAAACGGGAAAGTATTCTAGACAGGCCAGACGACACATTTTTGGATTAATGCGCTACTACCTGTTTACACCTTGCAAAGAATTTCTTAGAGACTTCAAGGTAAATGCTGTGTTACCCTACGAAGACCTTGGGCACTTTGCACTGGGATCGCCCTGATCCGAGCCACATTCAGCTCGCTGAGTGCGCGAGTGGTGATGCTTTTAGAGCGGCGCGCGCGAGCGGCAGCTGAAGCCGGGCAGGCGCGATCGTTACGTATCATGTTCACCGATTACGGGATCTGGCTGACGTGCAGACAAAAGGCGGATGGTAATGATACGTGTGCCCCCCACCCCACCCCCGTTCGTCCTCCCTCCTGATCACATCGATAAGTCGGGTAGGCGCGCTTACGCACACGATGTGAGACAGTGGTTAAAACGATGTAGAATCGAGGAATTTTCCCTCGTTTTAAGATTGAAATGGGTTAGCCTGGATATTGTGAAGGAGGGCATTGGGCATTATTGTATCCTCTACTGTTATGTACTACCAGTGTAACACACTGTATTTAGACCTAGCTATGTTTATTGTTTTCGTTGTCGTCAGTATTTTCAAGTTTAACGCCTTTGCCGTCACGTCGTCTGCTGGGGATGTTTACCTCAGTCATCCCCAAAGCCGAGTGCTATTGGTACAAATAGGTCCCCCGGAGCCTCCCTCCCCTCGGTCCCACGGGGGCTCCCCGGGCTGCGCCGGGCACCGCCGCCACCGCGCGGACAATGACTTGTAATGCGATCAACAAGACGTCATCACGTTAGTCGTCGTGAGACCAGCTTCCCCTCTCATCCACCCCCTTCCCCACTCCCGTCTTACTCTACTTCCATGTGGCTCCAGTCCGCCCGAGTCGTACCCTCCCTAGTAGCACAGAACTGTCGTACGACTGTCGGACAACAGTAGAAAAAAGATACGAACCATCGCTGCGATATACGAAGTGAGAAAAATGATTCTATCGCTAGTACTATGTTTTTTTCTGGGAACGAAAATCTTTATCGGCCAGCTATCGTAATGGAAGCGGAAAACCACTGTTGTTGATTTGACCAGGAATTGATAAAATTGCAACAGAATGGTAGATAGTTTAAATTTGATAGACCGGCGACAACCGTCTTACTGTGGAAAAGCCAGCACTGTTGGATTTTCGTTGTCACAATAATTGGCCGATTGAAAAAAAAATTGCACTATGTGCGACGACAGTTTTGTGTTACTAGGACTCTACTGCTCTGGCCTTCAAATGCGATGGATTCTTCTTGTTTCCCTCGCGCACTGCGGGCTGCACTGGCCCTGGCTGCTACTCTCTTGATTCGCCCGGAGGGCGAGCCGAGGGAAAGAGAAAGGGGGACAAGCGGGGGAGGACAACAGCGCGCCGTGGCGGTGGGAGCAATCTGCGCATCCCCGGAGTTAACCCCGTCTGGGGACTAACGAGATTTGGGTCCTACCAGCCTGGCCGGCAGGGTGGAGGGGGGTGGGGGGGTTAAAGGGGCTCTCTTACCTGATGCCGGCCATAGGGATGCGGTCGCGCGGGGTGCGTCTCGCTGCTACTCCGCAATGCCCTGTGGCGCCGCCTCTGCTGCAGTGTCCTCGCCTAAGGAGCTGCGTGCGCCACACGGCGACCCTTTCCTAAGCCGTTTAACAATAAGCGACCATGGTCCATTTAACAAACCACCAACATCGTTTGAAATTCATTGCTCCCCCGCTCCCCCTGCCCCTTTCCCTTCTCTTGGCTGTGTGTTGTGCCAGCCACTTGATATTCGGGTCATAAGCGCGCAGTGCCGCGGGGCGCGCTGACAGTGCACGGGCTGTCAACCCTTTCGTAGGCTCGCGCCCCACCCGCTCCCCTCCCTCCGCCAGGACCGGGATGCCGTAAATAATGCATATCGGTGTGATTGGGTTAGCAGGGAGCCGCGGCGTTTTGCTGCTCCGCGATACGAACCCCTCCCATGACAACCGAACTATCCTCGTGTCTCCGGGACAAACCTCCCCACGCTTGTGAATACAGTCGCTTATACAATGTTCACATAACCCCTCTTCTTCTTTTTCGATATCCAACGCCGTGTGTAGTCTATACCCTGCTATGTGCCACACGCTTATATTTTACACTTTACGTTGCCGGATAAAGTTAGTTTCTTCGACTTTGTCGTTCCTTAAATGAAATGATCCTACACTCTCCCTGGGGGCTGATATTAAAAATAAAGGTTTGGAGAGTAGCATATGATAAAGCGCTTAAAATTGTTTTCGAACGTGAAACTGATGCAAGTGCGTCGTGCGACAGCTGTCACTTTTCGCCTTGGTGGCAGAGCTGCGTGCAGACCGCTTCTTGTAGCCGGGAGGTAGCCCCATGCGCCGAGCACCTGTTCCTGATTCCATTTGGATGACCTTTTTAGGGACCCAGCGCTGGGGCGGGCCTTTTTGTGAGTCTGGAGCCCCGGCTGGGGTGGTGTGCGGCACACTGTGCGCAGCACTTTATGGCAGGTGTTGCGTTATGCGAGAAGTGGTTGTGTTGCCGACTAACGGGCTTTGCAGTCTGAAAACAGCTCTTGTTTGAAATAAAGCCATGTTGCATATGCAGGAATGGAAGAAAAGTACAATTTTACTAGTAAATCAAAATGATCATAGCAGAAGACATTTAGAGTGGTAGGTATCGCTTGTTAAAGAAATCTCTGGGATTTTCCGAAGTAGTCGTGCACTAAATTGCTAACATCCTTCCTTTGGATTTCCAAACGACCGCCGTGGTAGGGCTTAATAAAAAAAAATCTGCAGATACCACTCTTTTTTTAAAGTTGACAATGAACATTTTTACTGTCAAATAATGTTTGCTAACATGTGGACAATCTTCGTGAAATCTCACGAAATTTCTATCTAAATTTGTTATGGCAAAATTTCCTCTAACTCTTACGAACAAAAGCTACAGAGATCTGCGGTTGTCTATGTTATAGTCGTCTCGGTGTTCTATGCCTTCCGTGGGACGACTTGCTCTACCGTTTACCGCCGGCCGCCTTATATGTCCTCTCACTCTATTGTTTTCGCCCTGCGTGAGGACTCAAAGAAAGATAATGATTCGGAAAACAGACGCAACGCCGTAAAAATACACGGCGAGCAAACACACACACACACGGGGCTCATACAGCTCCCCCCAGACGAGAGACACTATCGGATGCCGTCTACCAGACGCGGGCACACTTCCTCTCAGACCACATCCAGGCGCCTCCCCCTTCTCGATGATGTCGACCTGCGCGGAGCTTGAGATGTCACACATGTTCGCGTTGCGCGAACGGAAGCCAGGCGCCATCTCCTCTCTCTGTCTCTCTCTTTCACACGCGCTCTCACACACAGTCACACACACACAACCCTCCCTTCCCTCTCGCCTCTCCCTCCCCCCCAGCCGAGGTCTCAAAACTAGAGCAAAATAATTGACTGCTTCGTTATCAGAAAGTCCACACAGTGTCAATGCGTCTGCGTGTGTGTATACGTATGTGTGCGTGCTTTTGAATGGATCTGCTTCTACCTGGACTGCTTTTGTTTGCCGTGTCGACAGCCCCTTTGGCTCGGCCTAAGCCCAGTCGGGCGCGACCATAGATTCCTCCCGCCCAGGTGGCGCCTCACCTCGCTCGGGCGGCGCGGCTGGCGCGGCGTGGCGCTGCGCTGCTTCCCACACTAGGTGAATCGGACAGTCATCCTCGCCTCTCCACCCGCACTATCATCAACTGTCATCACGGCGCGCACCGCACAGCGCCGCACAGCCATTGTCTGAGTGTCATCTCATGTTAGGGGTGACGACACACATTGCAGGACGACAAATCTCTTTTGATTTCATTTTAGAAATGTTGTTGGGACACAACGCATGCACTCAGTGAACTTGATTAGCAGCATGCATTTCCATTTAGCATGTATTATTATTACATGTGACTTTCTTAAAAAAGAAATACCTAACTGCTGAGTTTTTACAAAATTTTCGTAAAATTTCGATGCACTATAAATGTGACTAATTGTGTGCTCACTTGCTGCGGGACCACAGTACCTGCTGGCGCCCGTCTCGCTGTCCCACGGACACCGCCACTGTCCCGCCCAGGAACATGTACCACATCGGTTTCCTACGGCGGGGGTTATTTTTATTTGGCGTGGCGTTTCCTCCTCTCCTGGGGCCGAACAAACGCGCAGAGCAAAGGCCCCCTCCCGCTGTTCTGCGCCATGGCCTCGGGTTCGTTCTGCCACGCCACGTCGCGCCTCGTGTGCTCTCGGAGCCATCCAGACGAGGCCATGCCCGCCCTGCGCCCGCCCGCCAGCCAGCAGGCAGCCAGCAGGCAGCCAGGCCCCTTGAGTAGAGTCGTACGGTGTGTCCCCTCCACCTCCCGGCCCGGGCCGGGCCCAGGCGCCATGTTATTGGTAGACCTCAAATTACTGGGCTGCCCGCCTGAGCATTGAATGATGTTGCTCATTTCGCAGGATGTGGACGATTGTGTGAGCAGGATACGTGACTGGGGATGGCAGGGTGGCAGGAGGTATCCGGGGTATCGGTCGGAAGTACTGCCAGCCAGCACTGTTAGGAAGAGTGTACTGTATTTTGATGTTCTGCTCTGTATACTAAGCTAGGAGGTCCAGGATTTCAGCTGGCATGATGAAGCATAAACTATTGCGAAGTGTGAAGTTCAGTACTATTCGTGATGACTAATTCTGTCTGTTTTCTTTATTTTTGCAGACGGAGGCTGCATTACGACCCCAACGACGAAAGGTGTGTATTTAACCAAATACTTTAAAATTTTATATCTAAAGTATTGCGACCTAGTTAGAAAAATGAAAACCGACAACTGTTGCAGAGAAGTTGATTCTTTTAGCTGGCAGAGAACAGTAGAAACATCTCATGTCGATAAGGGTGCATACAAGTGGGGATCGAATTATTATTTTTTGCTATTCGTGGGAAATAGCACTGTATGTAGCGCCAGTGCTTAGCCACAGACAGCCCAAAACCAACAAACCCTGAAAGATCGACTCGAATGACTTGCCCAAAAAAGGAACTTACAGCTTGGCGGGGACTGAGACGTCACTGAAGGGGCAGCAGAAAAGGCCTAAGCACAAACAAAAAACACCGTCTGTGTTTGTTTAAGAAACTACGTTTGCAATCAGATCTGTTTCCCCTGCCAGCGCAAGCCACCCCCCCCCCCTCTCC